CAAAAACCTAATGGATTTAGGTAGGTTTCCGACGTTTCTGACGTATGTATTATACGTCGGAAATGTATGTCATTTACGTCACTGTTTCTGACAGGCCATCTCTGCTCAATACCTTCTACAAGGAAGCGGCAATGGCAAATTTTAAAAATTGTTCGAATTTACCACAATTTGAGGGATTCTTTGAGCCACCATTAAAACGGGATGTCTATTATTTTAACATGTGTATATTCGATGAATCGGGATTTCCAGATTTCATTGTCGAAGGATATTATAAGGTACTGGTGCGTGGCCATGGTCCTGTGGAGTGGACAATGATGTTTATCTCTCTAATTGAGAATATATATTAAATTGTTGTTTAAAAAAAAAAAAATCTGATTAAGTGAGGATTTTCGAAGTGTTTACGGGGAGGTAAATAAATAAGTAGTCAAAATTATTTAAGTAATGTAAAAAAAATCCGCATTCAATAAAAATATCTTTTAGAAAATCGTGACATTTTAGATTACCCAAAAAATCGAAATCTAAACATTTTCGATCCTAACTCATTACAATTATGCTGTCTTGTAATGCTGACAGTAATGAGTCGTAATAACATCTACTATAATTTATTTATTTGATAATTAATGTGAATCATATAATGTGGTCACTCAAACCCAAATGCTGATGTCACCAAAAATTCCATCATAGGTTGTCGGAATGTCATTATTACAACAGCAGCAACAACAACAAAAATCAAATAAATGTTTATTTCGAACATAAAACTTCAACTACTAGCCTTTATCTGCAATTTGCAATCAGCAACTTTGACCTGACCTTAAACTTTATGGCGATTGAACTTTGACACGCAGAACACATAAACAACCAAGCACTCATAAAACACAAAAAGTTGTAACTAATGGCATATTTTTTAAGGCCTAGGAATAAAATTATTTAAAAAATCCACGCCTTATATGGGGCAAGACCTAGGAAAAAAAATTATTTAAAAAATCCACGGCAAGGCCTAGGAAAAAACTAATTAAAAAATCCACGCCTTATATGTGGCAAGGCCTAGGAAAAACTTATTTAAAAAATCCACGCCTTATATGGGGCAAGGCCTAGGAAAAACTTATTTAAAAAATCCACGCCTTATGTGGGGCAAGGCCTAGGAAAAACGTATTTAACAAAATCCACGCCTTATATGGGACAAGGAAAAACTTATTTAAAAAATCCACGCCTTATATGGGACAAGGAAAAACTTATTTAAAAAATCCACGCCTTATATGGGACAAGGAAAAACTTATTTAAAAAATCCACGCCTTATATGGGGCAAGGCCAAGGAAGAAATTATTTAAAAAATCCACGCCTTATATGGGGCAAGGCCAAGGAAGAAATTATTTAAAAAATCCACGCCTTATATGGGGCAAGGCCAAGGAAGAAATTATTTAAAAAATCCACGCCTTATATGGGGCAAGGCCAAGGAAGAAATTATTTAAAAAATCCACGCCTTATATGGGGCAAGGCCAAGGAAGAAATTATTTAAAAAATCCACGCCTTATATGGGGCAAGGCCAAGGAAGAAATTATTTAAAAAATCCACGCCTTATATGGGGCAAGGCCAAGGAAGAAATTATTTAAAAAATCCACGCCTTATATGGGGCAAGGCCAAGGAAGAAATTATTTAAAAAATCCACGCCTTATATGGGGCAAGGCCAAGGAAGAAATTATTTAAAAAATCCACGCCTTATATGGGGCAAGGCCAAGGAAGAAATTATTTAAAAAATCCACGCCTTATATGGGGCAAGGCCAAGGAAGAAATTATTTAAAAAATCCACGCTTTATATGGGGCAAGGCCAAGGAAGAAATTATTTAAAAAATCCACGCCTTATATGGGGCAAGGCCAAGGAAGAAATTATTTAAAAAATCCACGCCTTATATGGGGCAAGGCCAAGGAAGAAATTATTTAAAAAATCCACGCCTTATATGGGGCAAGGCCAAGGAAGAAATTATTTAAAAAATCCACGCCTTATATGGGGCAAGGCCAAGGAAGAAATTATTTAAAAAATCCACGCCTTATATGGGGCAAGGCCAAGGAAGAAATTATTTAAAAAATCCACGCCTTATATGGGGCAAGGCCAAGGAAGAAATTATTTAAAAAATCCACGCCTTATATGGGGCAAGGCCAAGGAAGAAATTATTTAAAAAATCCACGACTTATATGGGACAAGGCCTAGGAAAAAATTATTTAAAAAGGCCTAGAAAAAAATATTTAAAAAATCCACGCCTTATATGGGACAAGGCCTAGGAAAAAATTATTTAAAAATTCCACGCCCCTTTATGGGGCAAGGCCTAGGAAAAAATTATTTAAAAAATCCACGCCCCTTTATGGGTCAAGGCAAAGGAAAAAATTAAAAGTTATTTAAAAAAAAATCAACGCCTCATCTAGGGCCTAGAAAAGTTATTTTAAAAATCAACGCCTCATCATACTTAACTAGCTGGCTTGTTACATAACGGTTGTTCCATAAGACGAGCTTAAAAAAGATTTCCAAGCGCGTCGGTCTTGTGCGCATCTCCTACAATTTGAAAGACCACTTGCCAAGATGTTGTTTTCTACTTGGTCTCTTCATCTGATTCGTGGCCTTCCCCTTCTACGGGAACCATCAGTAGGCTCGCTTTTATATGCCTTTGAGCTGGGGCATTCTCATTCATTCGCACAACATGACCTAACCATCGTCGTCGCTGCAGCTCAATACGACTGACTATGTCGATGTCCGCGTATAAATTGTAAAGCTCGTGGTTCATTTGGAACTTGAAAACTACAGCTTCGAGGTGGTCAAAGATTTTATATACCTTGGAACCGCCATAAATAAAAGGAATGGGTACTTGCGCAAGCAGATGAGGCTGCTCTTGGGGTGTTTGAAAGAAAACATCTGTGAAAGATCTTTCGGAGAATTTTTCTTTCAAACACCTCAAGAGCTGCCTCATCTGCTTGCGCAAGTACCCATGCTTCGGATCCATATAAGAGCACGAGTAGTATTAGCATCTTGTAAAGTGTGAGTTTGGTCTGACGGGAGTTGGCCTTGTTTCTAAACTGCTAACGTAGACCATAGTAGCATCTGTTGGCCATTACAATCCTTCTCCAAATTTCAAAACTGATGTCAGTTGTTTTATTTATGGTGGTGCCAAGCTATAACTACCTCGAAGCTGTAGTTCTCAAGTTCCACAGTTGTTCCGAGTCTACAGGACGTCTTGCGTGTTGATACCATCCACTTGGTCTTTTCGTCGTTTACTGCCAGATCAACTTTGGCAGACTCCTTTTCAATTTGTTCAAAGGTGACTGTTACCGCTCGTAATGTTCGACCAATTATATCGATGTCAACGGTGTGGGCGAGTAACATGTGTTGTTTGGTGTACAGAGTGTATTTTCTGTTCACCTTTGCGTCTCGTATGACCTTTTCCAGCAGGATTTTAAAAAGATCACACGACAAATTGTCTGAATCCTTGTTCGATATTGAAGGGCTCCGATACGTCCTTTCCAACTTTATCTGCCGTACTTGTGCCTCTTAAAGTTAACCTGCATAGCCGTATTAATTTTGCAGGAATGTCGAACGTAGACATGGCTTTAAACACCTCTGAACGTTTAGGGCTGTCGAATGCCACTTTATAGTCGACGAATAGGTGGTATGTGTCGATGTGTTTTTCGTGGGTTTTTTCCAGGATTTGGCGCAAAGTGAAAATCTGGTCAATGGTGAATTTGCCAGGTCTGAAGCCCCATTGGTATGGTCCAATAATATCATTGACCCTTGGCTTCAATCGTTCAGACAGCACACTGGATAGCACTGTATATGCGACGGGAAGAAGGCTAATTCCTCAATAGTTTGCACATATCGTCTTGTCTCCTTTTTTGTGCACGGGCCACAGTATGCTGAGGTTCCTATCATTGGGCATGCATTCATCTAGCCAAATTGTATTAATCAGCTGGTGCATGCTCCTGACCAGAATCTGACCACCAGTCTTGAATAGTTCGGCTGGTAACCCATCGGCTATTGCTGCTTTATTGTTCTTGAGCCCATTAATTGCTTTTATGACCTCATCTTGGCTAGATGGTATACACTCTATACCATCATTTCATATTGGTTCTGGGGTATCTTCTTCACCGCGAGTATTTGATACCAGAAGTTTGTCAAAATGCTCCTTCCAGATCCTCAACACGCTGTCGGTATCTGTCACCAGGTTTCCTTCTTCATCTCTACAGGAGGATGTGCCTGCACCAAAACCTTCGGTTTGGTGGTTTACTCGTTGGTAAAATTTCCGGACTTTCTTTCTGACTCCTGTATATATCGATACACAACCCATTTAGGGCCTACACAAAAATTTTTTAACAAATCCACGCCTCATCTAGGGCATAGAAAAAAATTATTTAAAAAATCCACGCCTCATCTAGGGCATAGAAAAAAATTATTTAAAAAATCCACGCCTCATCTAGGGCATAGAAAAAAATTATTTAAAAAATCCACGCCTCATCTAGGGCATAGAAAAAAATTATTTAAAAAATCCACGCCTCATCTAGGGCATAGAAAAAAATTATTTAAAAAATCCACGCCTCATCTAGGGCATAGAAAAAAATTATTTAAAAAATCCACGCCTCATCTAGGGCATAGAAAAAAATTATTTAACACATCCACGCCTCATCTAGGGCATAGAAAAAAATTATTTAAAAAATCCACGCCTCATCTAGGGCATAGAAAAAAATTATTACAAGTCCAAGCCTTATGTAAGCCTAGAAAAAAAATTATTTAACAAGTCCACGCCTTATGTAGGCCTAGAGAAAAATTATTTTAAAAATCCACGCCTTATTTTTCTAGGCCTATGAAAATGTTATCTAAAACATCCAAGCTCTTTAAAGGCATAAGAAAAAATATTTTAAAATCCACGTCCTATATAGGCCTATGAAACATTATTTTACAAATCCACGCCTATGTAGATCCTTTCAAGATTTCTAATAATATTTTATTTCATTTTTTATTTTCAAATATCCCTCTCAACTTTGAAGACAAACACCATGGACCAATCCACATCACCAAATCCCGTCACTTCGATTTTATAAAATCCATCTTCAAGATGATTTGGAAAACCACTCATATCGAATTGACATTTATCCATATAATAGGTATCCTTGGCAAGGGGTGGCACAAATTCGCCCTCAAATTGCGGCATATTTGAACAGGTCTTGAACTCCTCCATTGCCACATCTTTATAGAATGTAGCCAAAATTTTATAGTCATGCTGACGATAGATATGAAAAGGTGTTTTACGATAATTATCCTTGCCATTGGAACTGAAATATATTTGCGATTCCATCTGTAAGTATGGTGAACAATTCGAAATATAAAATCAAATAATTTTAATTTCTGGCATATAAAAATACCCCCCTCATTCGAATCTCCTTCTGCAATGTCAAAATTAAAAACAATGTTTCCCGAAAATCCATAGATGCCACGTTCAATACGTTCCACTTTAAAATCAACGAAATTCATTAATTCCGGATTGGATGAGAAGACATCAACAGATTTAACTTCAGCTGTCCAGGTTTTCTAGGAGGAGGCAAATAAATAAAAATAAAATGAAAAAATATTGAGCTTCAAGGATGTCATATTTGGAATTGAGTTGCTTACCATATTTCCGAATCCCTCGGTAGTGGTTATGTAATAAAATATAATAAATAAAAGTATTTTCATCTTTCCGATTTTATTTTGAAACATTTGTATTTGTTATTCAATCCAAATGGGATGTATTTATATATTCGCAAAATATATAAATTAATTATAGCAATTTAAAAAACTATGCATGCACCTCATTAAACAAGATTTATAAGCAATGTGACAACATCTAAATTGATTATCAGTATGGTCGGAAGTATTAAACAGGACAATTAAATTCATATTTTACATGCATTTCACACGAAACATTCATAGAAGGTTCAGTAGAATTTAAACAATTTTAAATAAGGCGTGGATTTTTTCTTTAATAGGCGGGAATTTTTTAAAAAAATTTTTCCGAGACCACCAATAGGCGTGGATTTTTTAGATAATTTTTTTCCGAGACCACCAATAGGCGTGGATTTTTTAAATAATTTTTTTCCGAGGCCACCAATAGGCGTGGATTTTTTAAATATTTTTTTTCCGAGGCCACCAATAGGCGTGGATTTTTTAAATATTTTTTTCCGAGGCCACCAATAGGCGTGGATTTTTTAAATAATTTTTTTCCGAGATGTACAGGAGTCAGAATGAAGTCCGAAAATTCTACGGGTAAAACACCAAGGCTTTGGTGCAGGCACATCCTCCTGTAGAGATTAAGAAGGAAACCTGGTGACAGATACAGACAGCGTGCTGAGGATCTGGAAGGAGCATTTTAAAAGCTTCTGGTATCAAATAGTGGCTGTGAAGAAGATACCCCAGAACCAATAAGAGATGATGGTATAGAGTGTATACCCCCTAGCCAAGATGAAGTCAGACTAGCAATCAATCGCCTCAAGAACAACAAAGCAGCTGGAGCCGATGGGTTATAAGCCGGACTATTCAAAACTGGTGGTCGGATGCTGGCAAGGAGCATGCAACAGCTGATTAGTACAATTTGGCTAGAGGAATGCATGCCCAATGATTGTAACCTCAGAATCATGTGTCATGTGTCCCGTGCACAAAAAAGGAGACAAGACGATATGTGCCAAGTATAGAGGAATAAGTCTCCTTCCCATCGCATATAAAGTGCTATCCAGCGTGCTGTGTGAACGACTGAAGCCAATGATCAACGACATTATTTGACCATACCAATGCGGCTTCAGACCTGGCAAATCTACCATTGACCAGATTTTCACTCTGCGCCAAATCCTGGAAAAGACCCACAAAAAACACATCGACACATTCCAAGTATTCGTCGACTATAAAGCCGCATTCGACAGCCCTATTCGTTCAGAGGTGTTTAAAGCCATGTCTACGTTCGGCATTCCTGCAAAATTAATACGGCTATGCAGGATAACTTTAAGTGGCACAAGATCAGAAGTTAACGTCGGAAAGGACCTCTCCGAGCCCTTTAATACCGAACAATTATTCAGACAAGGTGATAGTTTGACATGTGACCTATTTAACATCCTGCTGGAAAAGGTCATACGACAGGCAAAGGTGAACAGAAATGGTACTCTTTACACCAAACAACGCATGTTACTCGCCTACGCCATTGACATCAATATAATGGGTCGAACATTGAGAGCGGTAACAGCCACCTTTGAACAAATTGAGAAGGAGTCTGCCAAAGTGGGTCTGGCAGTAAACGGCGCGAAGACCAAGCTGTTGGTATCAACGCGCAAGACGTCCAGTAGACTCGGACCAACTGTGGAACTTGAGAACTACAGCTTCGAGGTAATTGAAGATTTTGTATACCTTGGTACTGCCATAAATAAAACGAATGACATTAGTTTTGAAATTCGGAGAAGGATAGTATTGGCCAACAGATGCTACTATGGTCTGAGTAAGCAACTTAAAAGCAAGGCCACTGAAGCATGGGTACTTTCGCAGGTAGATGAGGCAGCTCATGGAGTGTTTGAGAGAAAAAATTCTCCGAACGACTTATAGGCCGATCTGCTTTGACGGTGAATATCGCTGTCGAATGAACCATGAATTGTACCAGATATTCTCGGACATCAACATTGTTAGATATATTGAACTGCAGCAACTACGTTGGCTAGGTCATGTCGTGAGAATGGATGAAGATGCCCTAGCCTGGAAGGCATTTAAAAGCGAACTAGCTGGTTCACGCAGAAGGGGAAGGCCACGAATAAGATGGAAAGATCAAGTGGAAACAACATTACCGAATTTTTCGAGGCCTATATAAAGCGTGGATTTTTTTTAATAATTTTTTTCCGAGGCCTATATAAGGCGTGGATTTTTTTTAATAATTTTTTTCCGAGGCCTATATAAGGCGTGGATTTTTTTAATAATTTTTGTCCGTGGCCTACATAAGGCGTGGATTTTTAAAATATTTTTTTCCGAGGCCTATATAAGGCGTGGATTTTTTAAATATTTTTTTCCGAGGCCTATATAAGGCGTGGATTTTTTAAATATTTTTTTCCAAAGCCTATATAAGGCGTGGATTTTTTAAATAATTTTTTTCCGAGGCCTATATAAGGCGTGGATTTTTTTTAAATATTTTTCCCGAGGCCTATATAAAGCGTGGATTTTTTAAATATTTTTTTCCGAGGCCTATATAAAGCGTGGATTTTTTAAATAATTTTTTTCGGAGGCCTATATAAGGCGTGGATTTTTTAAATATTTTTTCCCGAGGCCTATATAAAGCGTGGATTTTTTAAATAATTTTTTTCCGAGGCCTATATAAGGCGTGGATTTTTTAAATAAAGTCTACAAATGAGACGTCGATTTTCTATAGAAAACTTTTTAGTAATTTTGTTATTAAAACCATTTCATTAGTGCTTGTATGTCATACAATTTCCAAATTAAGACATCACATGTCTGTCATTGTCACCCTGCCATAAAAACTGGCATTATTATGAACCAAAAAAATATTGAGATTTTTTCTAGAATAAAATAATAACCTTTTTTGTGTTTTCTCATCATATGATCAAATTATGAAATAATAAAAAAAATATATGAAAACGGGTAGATTCAGCCTTCATGTCTTTTGTTTCATTTCCGCCATGGTTAAATATTAACAATTCTATGATTGATGGTGGCGGTGGTATTGGTCCAATTGCGGAACACATTTCGCCCGATTTTTATTACCACAAACAACAACCGCCGATACACGAATATTTACAATTAAGAACGATTTTTTATTACCCAAAATATTAAACAAAAATTAATAAAGGGAGAACCAAAAAAACATATCTAATAAATTACATAACAATAAGCCCTTTACATAATCAGAAGAAAATAAAAATTGGAAAATAATTATTGTTTTTATTATAAATAACAATTAAATAATTGTTAATAATCGGTTTTTGATTGCATTGAAATGACAATAAAACGTAAATTCGATGGAGGGATAAAAAAAAATAATTGTAACAAACTGATTTCAAGGCCTTCGGATCGGTACAGAGATTGATCAGAACAATAATAACTACCATCATCATAAAATCGTCGTGATGGTGACCTTTGAATTAAATGACAATGAACCCTTCTAATTTGATTTGATTTGATTTTCCCCCTTCTTCCTTCCCTCCTCCCTCTTCTACACACTCCTAATGTAAACACACACACTCTCATTCTGCAGTGATTGAATTTTTTTGAAATATGGAGACAACTTTTCCCAAACGAAATAAATTTCCAAGGTTATTGAAAACACATTGTCTGTCTTCGATGTTTTGATCACAAATCACCCCCTTTTTGTCGTGTGCAATGTCTGATGCGCATTCAATCGGAGGACGGGGGCAGGGGTTCAAAGAGTTCAAAGCCAAATCAATGAACAGAACAAAACTCTTTCACCAAATCATTGATGAAGAATGAAAAGGGGGAGAGGGGAGGATGGGGTTATTGCATTATTTGTTTGTGTCTCCTGCTTCCCCTTCTCATTTAATTACTATATTATTTATTTTTATTGCCGAATTTAGAAGTATTTGATGTCCAAGCACCCCATCTCTCTCTCGCTGTGGCAGCAGACAGAAAGTGTGGCTGTACCCCCAATCCACCAAAAAACTATGTGGACATCTTTCATCAGCATTAGAGTGCCTAAAAGTAATGGTCTCAACAATGATGACTTCGATGATGATGCTGCTGACGATCGTCATCATCATTGTCACCATTGATGATTAAATTCCAGACAGTTTTATATGCTTTTGTCTCAGTGCAATCATTTGTTATTTCAATTAATTTTAGTTCCGCTGTCTGTTTGCCGATTTTTATTCTTCTAGTATTCTATGGAAGTCAATCAGTCACCCAGTTTCGGCATGAATAATTGTCACATTATTTAAGTGGTCATTAAAAAAGAGATCCAATTTTGGGGATATTGTGAAATTTTCGCCATAAAAAATTGAACAATGACTACCACTATGATTACTAAAATTTAGCCAGAACTAAGCATATGAATTTATGAATTAGTCATATTAGCCTACGCTTAAAAAATATACTTTAAAAAATCCACGCCTTTTATAGGCCTTGGAAAAATATTCCTTTAAAAATCCACGCCTTTTATAGGCCTTGGAAAAATATTCCTTTAAAAATCCACGCCTTTTATAGGCCTTGGAAAAATATTCCTTTAAAAATCCACGCCTTTTATAGGCCTAGGAAAAAAATATTTAAAAAAAATCCACGCCTTTTATAGGCCTAGGAAAAAAATATTTAAAAAAATCCACGCCCTGTATACTTAGCTGGCTTATTACAGAACGGTTGTTCCATAAGCCGAGCTTAAAAAAAATTTCCAAGCGCGTCGGTCTTGTGCGCTTCTCCTCCAATTTGAAAGATCACGTTGTTTTCTACTTGGTCTTTCCATCCAATTCGTGGCCTTCCCCTTCTTCGGGAGCCATCAATAGACTCGCTTTTATATGCCTTTTGAGCTGGGACACTCTCATTCATTTGCACAACATGGCCTAGCCACCCTAGTCGCTGCAGCACAATACGACTGCTTATGTCCATGTCCGCTTATAAAATGCAAAGCTCGTGGTTCATTCGACGCCGATACTCACCGTCGATGCAGATCGGCCAGTAGATCTTTCGGAGAATGGCCTTGTTTCTAAACTGCTTACTTAGGCCATAGTAGCATCTGCTGGCCATAACAATCCTTCTCCGAATTTCAAAACTGATGTCATTCGTTTTATTTATGGCGGTACCAAGGTATATAAAATCTTTAACTTTCTCGTAGCTGTAGTTCTCAAGTTTCACAGTTGGTCCGAGTCTACTGGTCGTCTTTGGCGTTGACACCATCAGCTTGGCCTTCTCGCCGTTTACTGCCAGACCCAATTGCAGAGTCCTTTTCAATTTGTTCAAAGGTGGCTGTTACCGCTTGCAATGTTCGATCCATTATATCGATGTCATCGGCATAGGCGAGTAACATGTGTTGTTTGGTGTACAGAAAGTCATTTCTATTCACCTTTGCGTCTCGTATGACCTTTTCCAGCAGGATGTTAAAAAGATCACACGACAAACTGTAATCTTGTCTGAATCCTCGTTCGGTATTAAATGGCTCCATGAAGTGATTTCCGACTTTAACTACTGACCTTGTGCCACTTAAAGTTATCCTGCATAGCCGTATTAATTTTGCAGGAATGCCGAACGTAGGTATGGCTTTAAACACCTCTGAGCGGATAGGGCTGTCGAATGCGGCTTTATAGTCGACGAATAGGTGGACTTGGCGCAGAGTGAAAATCTGGTCAATGGTTGATTTGCCAGGTCTGAAGCCGCATTGGTATGGTCCAATAATGTCACTGACCATTGGCTTTAATCGTTCACACAACACACTGGATATCACTTCATATGCGTCTCGTCTCCTTTTTTGTGCTCGGGACACAGGATTCTGAGGTTCCTATCATTAAGCATGCATTCCTCTAGCCAAATTGTACTAATCAGCTGGTATATGCTCCGGATCAGCATCTTACCACCAGTCTTTAATAATTCAACTGGTAATTCATCGGCTCCTGCTGCTTTATTGTTCTTGAGCCGATTAATTGCTTTTGTGATCTCATCTTGGCTATGTGGTATACACTCTATACCATTATCTCTTATTGGTACTGGGGTATCCTCTTTACCGCTACTATTTGATACCAGAAGTTTTTCAAAATTATCCTTCCAGATCCTTCAACACGCTGTCTGTATCTGTCACCAGGGTTCCTTCTTCATCTCTACAGGATGATGTGCCTGCACCAAAACCTTCGGTTTGGTGTTTTACTCGTTGGTAAAATTTCCGGGCTTCATTCGGACTCCTGTACACCTCGATTTGCTCACGCTCACGTTTTCTTGTTCTTTCTTCTTTTTTCTGAAAACACGTTTCTCCTCTCACCTTTTTCCCCGATAATTCTCCATTGCATTATGTGTTGCTACTGTCTGCGTTTTTCACATCAGTAGCATTCCGACACTCCTGATCGTACCATGGGTTTGTTGATGGTGGTTTTTGGTACCCAAGTGTTGCTTTTGCTGCAGTTTGTAGGGAGTGGGCAATTCTTTGCCATTGTGCTTCTATACTATTATCGGGACAAGAAGTGATTTTGTCATGCAGGTGGGTAAGTTGAACAGAGCAGGCCTCGGCTGCCTGTTGTGTTTGCAGCTTTTCGACGTCGAGTTTCCGTGTTGTCTTAGATCGCACCTTTGCTGCAACATTGAGACGAGTGCGAACATTGGCTGCTACAAGGTAGTGGTCCGAATCGATATTCGCTCCTCGGATCGATCGGACGTCTAATACACTGGATGAATGCCTTCCGTCGATCACAGCATGATCAATTTGATTTCTGAATTTAATTTCACGCCTTGTATAGGCCTAGGAAAAAATTATTTAAAAAATCCACGCCTTATTTGCTCCTTGAAAAATAGGATATGACTCAGAACTAATATTGAATTAATTTCGTAACACTCCCCAAAATGTTTTCAAAGTTTGCCGTCACTTCGCCATATATATGATAGCTATTCCTTTTTAATTTTGCCGATTTTATTTATGAGTTCTTGCAAAGCGACTAACGCACACTCACACATATGCCCTATCCCCCCACTCTATCCCCCTGATGAATTCAAAATAAATTTGCCCAAGTCTCAAAAATTGTCACACTATATTGCCTCAGAATATTTTTAATTCAAATTCAAGAATAAATTCATTGATGGATTTCAGTTTATTTCTAATTCAATTCAGACACAATCGAACATAAACACATGTGTCATGTGTGAGTGTGTGTTTGTCCCGGCCCAACTCACCCACTTCTTCTACAACAATACGACGTGTTCGTTATTAGTTCTGTTCCATTGATTCATTATTCGCCTAATGATCATTACAGCAACAACAATAAAAAAACTGCTGAGAGCAGAATTATTTCGATTGCGATTCTTAGCCGAATTGTTATTGTTGTTGGTTCTGGCCCACCACAGGTTTTTCATTATTTTTTTTTTTGTTCACAATTAATTTGGAGGCAATGAACGAACCGAACGGAACAAGCTGTTAGCATATTGTCACGAGTGAGAGCTCACATTAAATGGATAACAGTTAGCGAGCCAACGAGCGAGAGTAGTGTGAGCCGACAGAGACTCCCATCCGCTGCCAATTGGAAAAAAGAAGGGTTGACAGATGCGGAAGAGCTTCTTCGTTCGGTATCGGACACAACACAAAACTCGGCACAAGCATTCCGCAGCAGACACTTCACTTCAATCGTGCATTAGATAGCGACGGGTACGGTTCTCGTTCGGTTGGTTGGTGTTATTACGGTTGTTGTTCGTCAGATCGTTCGTTCGTTACGCATCGTTTGGTCGTTCGTACGTTCACGTAACATATTGTTCGTGGTGTTAACGCGGGGATATCCATTTATGTTGGATGTCCGTCCAACTCATCTGATTGTGGGGTAATAAACATGATCTTGTTTTTGTTTATCTTTTGTGTTGTTATTTTTTATTAAAGTTTGTTGATTTTTTCCTAACATTTGGAAAATCATGGGTGTCATTCGTTATGCTCGGAATTTGAAATCAAAAATTATATTTTTAAAAAATGAAAAAAAATAAAGAAAAGAAAATAACAAAGGAAATTTGTGCTAGTGACGCGATTGCTTGACACATCTCTTTGATTTAGTTTTTTTTTTTTTTTTTTTTGGTTTTGGCAACAATTTAAAATGCCATTAATTATTTTTAATGGAGATATTAAAAATTTTGAAATGCTAAATAGTGACCATATTTTGTTATGATAAAAATCTATACATATATGCTGGAGGTGTTGAATCACCCACTTGTGTCAAAAATGTTAATCACTAGATTAAAAAATAATAAAAAAAAAAACAAAAACAACTAAATATACAAAAAATATATATTTTTAAAAACTTATTAAAAATTATAATTTATTGATTCTCAAAAAAAAAAAAAAACTAAAATAGAAATAGAAGAAAAAAAAAACAAAATGAAAAAATCTATAATTATGTGCCTCCTAGACATGGATTTTTAAAATATTTTTTCCGAGGCCTCTATAAGACGTGGATTTTTTTAAATAATTTATTTTCTAGGCCTAAATATTTTTTTTTTCAAGTATATAACTACTTATTAGCTATTAAATTACTTATTTAGCTGGCTTGTGACAGAACTTTCGTTCCGATCTTAAGAAAGATTTCCAGGCGCGTCGGTCTTTTGCGAAGGTTTTCCAGTTTGAAAGATAATTTTCGGCAATGTTGTCTTCCACTTGATCTTTCCATCTTATTCGTGGCCTTCCCCTTCTGCGTGCACCATCAGCTGGATCGCTTGTATATGGCTTTTGGGCTGGGGCATCTTCATCCATTCTCACAACTTGACCTCGCCAAAGTAGTCGCTGCAGCTCAATACGTCTAAAATGCCGATGTCTGAGAATAGCTGGTACAGCTCATGGTTCATTCGACGTCAACGTAGATCTGCCCATAGATCTTTCATAGAATTTTTCTCTCAAACACTCCAAGAGCTGCCTCATCTGCTTGCGCAAGTACCCATGCTTCAGATCCATATAGCAGCACGGGTAGTATCAGCGTCTTGTAAAGTGTGAGTTTGGTTTGGCGGGAGGTGGCCCTGTTTCTAAACTGCTTACTTAGATCATGGTAGCATCTGTTGCCCATCACAATCCTTCTTCGAATTTCAAAACTGATGTCATTTATTTTATTTATGGCTGTACCAAGGTGTATAAAATCCTTAACTACCTCGAAGCTGTAGTTCTCAAGTTCCACCGTTGGTCCGAGACTACTGGACGTCTTGCGCTTGGTCTTCTCGCCGTTTGCTGCCAGACCCACTTTGGCAGACTCCTTCCAATTTGTTCAAAGGTGGCTGTTACCGCTCTCAATGTTCAATCCATTATGTCGATGTCATCGGCGTAGGAGAGTAACTGGTGTTGTTTGGTGTACAAAGTGTCATTTCTGTTCACCTTTGCCTCTCGTATGACCTTTTTCAGCAGGATGTTAAAAAGATCACACAACTGATTGCTACTCTGTCTAGGTGGTATACATTCTATACCCTCAGCTCTTATTGGTTCCGCGGTGTCTTCTTCACCGCCACCATTTGATACCAGAAGCTTTTCAAAATGCTCCTTCCACATCCTCAACACGCTGTCTGTATCTGTCACCAGTATTCATTTTCATTTCTACCGGAGGATGTGCCTGCTCCATGGTGTTTTACTCTTTGGTAAAATTTCCGGATTTCATTCTGACTCCTGTACATCTCGATTGGGTCACGCTTACGTGTTTTTTTGTTCTTTCTTCTTTTTTCTGAAAATACGTTTCTCCTCTCTCCTTTTCTCTTGATAATTCTCCATCGCATTACGTGTTGCTACTGTCTACAGGGTTGCCCTATACACTGCGTTTTTCACATCAGTAGCATTACGACACTCGTACCATGGGTTTCTTGGTTGTGGTTTTTGGTACCCAAGTGTTGCTTTTGCTGCAGTTTGTAGGGAGTGGGCAATTCTTTGACATTGCGCTTCTATACTATTATCGGGACAAGAATTGCTTTTGTCCAACAGGTGGGTAAGATGAGTGGAGTAGGCCTCGGCTACCTGTTGTGTTTGCAGATTTTCGACGTAGAGTTTCCGTGTTGTGTTCGATCGCACCTTTGCTGCTCCAGCAAGACGGGTTCATACTTGGCTGCTACAAGGTAGTGGTCCGAATCGATATTCGCTCCTCGTATAGATCGAACGTCTAATACACTGGATGAATGCCTTCCGTCTATCACAACATGATCAATTGGATTTCTCGTTGCTTGATCAGGAGAAATCCTGGTGGCCTTGTGTATATCGAAATGCTTGAATCTGGTTTTGGTTTTCTTTTTCTTTGCTTTTTCATAGTAAGAGGGGTTTTCCGAGTGTGGGCAACTAACCCGACGCGTCAACCCATTTTTTTTGTTCTTATGGGTGAACCCGCGGCACATATTAGCTCACAATTTCAACGGGTGATGAAAATAGATACCCCAGGTGACACCGCGGGAGGTCAGTTTCCACAATTGAAATGAAAGGGTGACCAAGATAAGCCTGGACTTCGCCATGTTAAAGTCAATCAAAACTTGGTATCTATCATCCCCTACGTCACCCAGAACTATAAATATTTGTTGGAAAAAATGAGAACATCTGATAAAATGTATAATCCCTATAATTTTTTCTCTATTTTCCGCATTTATGATTCACTCTTATCTTTGCGTTTAGTGTGTCATTAGAGAAGAATTTTATTTTGTAAATATGTTTCTGTTAAGTATATTATGTCCGGGTATTGTCTATGTTCCTAGAATTTTGCCATGATAAACATGGCAAATTTCTAAGGTAATGTAACAGTGAAATACACGCACGTAGCACCATCAGCAGCAGCAGTATCACGCATGAGAGGGACTTATTATCTTATTTGAATAATTTTTTTTTTGTTTTATTAGCAAATCTGTGAGGTAAAATACGCACCTACTGACGCATACAAAAATCTCGGTTATTAAAGTTTAAATATTTGCTAATTTGTCTTCCAGTTTAAACTACAAATGTTAGGTGTTAAAATGTAATCGGTTTTTATTATAGGTTATAAAAGAGTTATAATCTGCTGGAATTTTTAGACAGTTTGTATGGTCCTTGAAAAAATATTCTATAAAAAATCCACGCCTTATTTGATGGATTGAAAAAATATTTTTTTAAAAATTCACGCCTATTAACTCGAACCCCTACAATTTTTAACAGTAAATACAAGAAATATTGACTTTTATCTAACCTATTTTTTCTCACTTGTCTCATTTCAGATTATTTAAATAATTTTCGCCCAAAATTATTTGTGGTATGAAAGCCTAAAAATCGAATGCATGGCCTTAAGCCGAGAAAAAAATCTGCAGAAAAATTAAATAATTAAAAAAAGAAAAACTGTCTAGGATTGTCTACAAGTGTTTTGAAAGGTCATAAAAAGACAATGCGATCGCCCAATACAAATTAAATCAAAATAAAATACTAGGGCCTAAATAGGGCAATGAAATTTCCTTTCCCTCATGGCAAACACTACACTATAAAGCAAAATAAAATGAAACTATAAAAATTCAACACATAAAATACAAGTGCAAAATACAAATAAATCTGTTGAAATAGTTTGTAGTTTAATCTTCAAAACAAAGAGAAAAATTCCATTCAAGAAAAAATTAAAAAAAAAATCAAATTTTCAAGTGCCTATTTTTATTCATGGTGTAACAGTTTAAATGAAAATTTTTTATTGTGAAATAATAAAATTTTTATAAAGAGCCTCAAGTGTTTTTTTTAAATAGTGAAATTTTTTTGTTAATTTTGAGTTTAAATTTTGTATTTTAATTTTTATTTTTTTTTATTTAATAAATTTGTTTTTTTTTGTGTCTCATTTTCCCTTGCAGTGTGCTAAAGACAAATGTCAATTTTTTTAAGTGCATATAATAAAAATAAATATAGTTTTTTAATAAAAATTTAAAAAATATCATAAATATAAAAATTAGTGAAAAATCAACCCAACAAAAATTTAGAGAAATTTTCGTTTTATTTCAAATCTAAACGAATTACTTTTTTTCGAACGAGTTAAATATAAAAAGCGGCAAGTTGTACACGTTTGGCACCATGGAGGGAGGTTACGTGAATGAAGGTAAGTTTTAAAAATAACAATAATAGTAATGTAATAAACTAATATATAGGAAATATATTCATACATAAATTTAGCTATTTAATATTATGTGCAATTTATTTTGAATACTCTAGACCACTTCAAAATATGAAAAAATAATTTACATTACTTCAAAAGATATCCCATATAAATAAATTATTTAAAAAATCCACGCCTCTTGATGGTCCCTTAAAAATGATTTAAAAAATCCACGCCTCTTGATGGTCCCTTAAAAAATGATTTAAAAAATCCACGCCTCTTGATGGTCCCTTAAAAAATGATTTAAAAAATCCACGCCTCTTGATGGTCCCTTAAAAAATGATTTAAAAAATCCACGCCTCTTGATGGTCCCTTAAAAAATGATTTAAAAAATCCACGCCTCTTGATGGTCCCTTAAAAAAATGATTTAAAAAATCCACGCCTCTTGGTGGTCACTTAGGACATACATTTAAGCCATTGGAAGTCTGTTGTGCGCTCTAGGAAGGAAAGGCATTTAGACTAAATTATTCTTAATGATTGATCTCCCTATTCTTCTAGGAATTCTGTGCTGAAGTCCTTTAGTGAATGGAAAATATTCACACCCCCCCTGTTTTTTCCAATTCTCTTGTTACCCCCAGAATGTTTTGTGCGCCTGTTTCGCCCATGACCTCATTTCTAGACGTGACGCGCTAAAATGTTTTGCACTGTTCACATCTATGTTGATTAGGTCAGTAGCACGTCTGGCGAGTTGGTTGGCTATCTCGTTTCCTATGACTCCGGTACCCATATTATACGACCGTGTCGTGAGAAATTGTTTATGGTTTTTATGCATTCCAATACAGTTTTAGATGTAACCGTTTTCGATGTTATTGCATTAATAGCATGTTTATTATCTGTCATGATATTTGTGTTATTATGTCCAGAGTTAGAGCTTAACCATCATAGACACTCCGTTATAGCTTGAATCTCCGCCTTTAGGATCGTATTGAGATCTGGCAGGCGAAGTGAGATTTTAGTCCCCGGTTCTTCAATAAAAAGGCACAGTCCCGTCTTTCCCGCTATACGGGAGCCATCCGTGTAACAACAGTTCTCCGGAGGCATATGTGCTAGTGTTTCGCTGTCCAATGAGTCTCTGTCCGGTATCAGGATTTAACATGATGTGATTACTCTTGTTTCAGGTATTAGGTTTGACTCAAAATGGTTAATTGAGTATCCGATCGTGTTGTGTCCGGTGTCGATCCACTCGTTCATGGTTTTAAGTCTTAAAGCTGCGATGGCCGCTTCGTATTTTATTTGGATGTCAACTGGATGTATATACAATATACTTTCCAATGCCCTGGTTGGTGTTATCCGCATTGTCCCGCACATGCCTAGACAACAAGTTCTTTGGACTTTCTGTAATGCTATTACATTACATTTGTTGTCCATTGCTGTCCACTAGACTACAGACGCGTATGTTAGAATTGGCCTAACAACGCTCTTGTAGATCCAGTGAACCATCTTTGGGTTGAAACCCCATTTAGAGCCCACGGCTCTTCTACAGAAAGACCAGCATCTATGGGCCTTTTCGACCCGTTGTTGTATGTGGTCTTTCCATCTAACTTTTTTTTATCTAGGATGACACCCAGATATTTGACTTTATTTGATATGGCTATCACTTTGTTTTGAATGATTGGTTCTTCATACTGTCCCATTTTTG